GAGAGATCCCAGAGGGCATCCTCTAGGTTTTTCTGGATAATGTCATGGTTCTTGTTTTACACTGTGTTGTAGTACTCCAGCCGCACCCTCGGAACTAGATAAACAAGTTCAGGGCAGACTGAAGTATTGAGAAATCTTTTCAGGGGGGGCTCAGCCCTGTTGGATGTACTGACACTGATTCAGCAAAACGCTTAAGCGTGAACTTATTTTTAAACATGTGCATAGTCTCACTGAGGTCAGTGGCCAGAAAGCTTAGTGCATTGCAGGATCCAGCCCTAAGGCTGTTTGCATTATTGGTACCAGACCTTAACAGGCTGAAATGAAATACACAGTCAATTGTGGTGACTGTACATTTCAGTTGGGAATGAGTCAGCATATCTTGCCTACAGTATTAACTCACTAAAGTACTGTGGATCTAAACTTTTTTCTTGAATTAGAATGCTACAGGGTTCAAGACCTGGTTAGACGTGTGAGACAGTGAAAAATAACAGTATGGAGAGAAAAATTATTAATGTACTTATGCACATGCTTAACTTTAATCACTAGTAGTCCTGTGGCCTTCCATTAGATTATTCTTAGTCTTGATGGCTCCAATCCAATGAGGTACTTAGGCATGTGTGCAACTTTAAACTTGTGAAAAGGGGTCAAAGAGGCAAGAGAAAATACATTGTAATGTAAATAAGGCACCTTTGATGTCAACCTAGTTTTTGGAGGCTGTTCTTTTATCCCTTGTGCATAACATAGACTTACCCTTAGCTAGAAAAACATCTTTAAAAACAAACAAACTGAATCTCCCTTGGGCAGGGGATGAAGGGGAGGGCTTAAATTACAGGAGAAATATCTGGTTAACTCAAACCAGTTTTGCAGATCCAAAAGAATACTTGGAGAGGCTCATAAAGCTTCAAATTCCATGGGGTTTGTCCATCTTGGATTTAAACTTTCAGTGAATTAAATACTGGTCAGGAAAGTTGTTCCATTGCTTTTGAAAAGTGATTTTTATTAAATTTGTTTTAAATGAGTGCATTCTGGTAAAAAAAAAAAAAAAAAAAAGACTTGAGAGCTTTTTACCAGTACACAGCCAAACCTTTGATTTGCCATGTCAAAGTCTTACAATAAAGGCCAGAGACTTTCTGGCCCAAATTCTGCTCCCATCTGTACTAGTGTAAAGCTGTAAGGATTCTACTGACGTCAAAGAATTACTCTCAATGAGGCTAATTTAGGACAGAGTTCAGGTTTCACAGCAGTAATACAACTGTTACTTGCCCTATGCACGAAACTGTTATAAGGCTGATTGTACAACGGCTTTGAAAAATAGAAAAAGTGGTTTCTCTATCAGTTTTCACCTACATTTTTATATCTCATTTCAGTCAAATCAAAGAGAAAATCAGGACTCAACCTGGCTGCTTTTGAATTGTCACATACATAATGTTTATCTCAGGAAAAATGTTACCATCTTTGTATTTTACCGAAAGCATTCTATTCATCCTGTGGCTACCGCCATAGTTTATGAGCATATAAACCTAACTGCTCAAAAGTCCTACTTTTTGTTCAGTTTCTAAAATATGAAGTAAAGAGTCTAAATTAAATAAAGACATCAGCTGAGACTGGAAATTGGTTTTGTTACACGAGATACCTATTAATAGTGTCATGATGCTAATAAAATCAGCCTGGGAATTGATAAGGTTTTATATGCACAATGGAAAACAGTCTGCGATCAAGAAAGCAAACAATAAGATATCATTCAAACCCTGGTTATCCAGCTCACAGTGTTAGTAAACACAGCAATGTATTGCGGAGACTATATTTATCCTAACATGAGGAAACATGAACAAAGAGGCTGATGTCTGGCTGAGTAAATTCTGAACATAAGTAACATTAAGACATTATGGATATTTTATTTTGGGACAGGTTGTGATAATGTGGCACAGATTAGAGTAGCCATTTGTGGAAAAATTAGGTCAGAATCATGTAGATAAGGTGCAAAGAATTCCACTATCATCTTATTGTTTTCCTGAAATAAATACAGCTCGAGACATGTTTCAAAGCCATTTTTCCCTCTATGTCTTATTTTGCCTTTTCGGTCAAATCAAAGTTTGGCTGGAAAATAAAGAAACAAAATTGGCTGATCAAGAATGGATTGCAAATTATATTTAATTAAATAATTTCTGAGGGTTTAGTTTGATTAAAATAACTAAGGGCCTGATCTTGCGGTCCGTAATCTGGGCAAATGTCCATTGGTTTCATTGGGAATTTTGCCTGAGTGGGTTTATTCCAAGGAACATAAAAAGCTAGGCCCAGTTCCATCAATCCCAACAGAGAATATCTCAACATACTAAATCCTTCTTTTGTGCAGAGGAGATATTGACATCTGCTGGCTATTTCATTTGAGAAATAACATTGGGGCAGCAAAATACATTAGTATTTGAGGGAACCTTGACTTAAAAAAATGGTGTTCCCTCTTTCATGACCACATTAATAAACTGACACTTCAATTCTGTATGTGTGTCAGTGTTCTGTCACCTAACTATTCTAGATATTGATGTATGCTCATCAGCAGGATAGTGAGACTTTTTCCTTTTTGACTGTTATAGAATGTTTTTCTGGGCCATTAAGATAATGAAAATCATCTCACTGGCTTTGTTGGCTGTTGTATGAGGGACGTATTTGGGCAATTCCAAGATGGACTATGTGCCACATATGGTAAAATATGATTCTTCCAGTATATGAGTGGTGTATATAACATGAAGGTGGACACAGACATGAAGAACCCTAACATGACTTTTTTGACTTTATTTGATTTTAAATCCATTTTCATCACATCTTTTCAGGTGCCAGCTAACAAAGTCATAACTAGAGCCATTAAGAACTGCACACAAACTATCAGTGCATAATTAAGGTGTCTCAATCACGCTTCATGCCTTTATGAAAACTAGGAAAGAGATTATTGCTGCACATACTTCATTTTCTGTTGAATGTCAGTTAAGCTTTGATCCAATGTAGAATTCTAAACTTGATCCTCAAAAGCCTTGGATATATTGCTTCCCCATGGGAGCAATGGGTGCTGTGCATTAGCTAAATCCTGAGGGGCTGAGATCATTTGGGGAGGATTACAGTCAGTTTGATCTCTGAATAGTACAAAAAAAAACCCTTGAAGAACCAAGTGATTTGATAAATATGATTTTTAAGGAGAACGTGTGATATTTCAGAAACTCCTTGATCAAATAACCCCACATTTGGACCACTAACCCTATACTCTGCACCTTCACAAGGCACAGCTAATGTTAGGCCAATCTTTTAGGATTAAAATCTTGAAGATTCTAGAACATTTGGAATAATTTTCTTTTAAAACAATAAGCCACTCGGAACCTAAGGTATAGCACAGTTATCATACTGCTATCCACCATACGAGGTGGTGATTGAAGAAAAATGTCAATACACCAACCCAACCAAACAGTCCAAGTCATCTGACTCTAAAACTGCAGGCTGGAGTGAGGAGGCTGGTTTTCTCTGGTTCTAGTCTGCTTATATGCCTCAGTTCACACATTTGCCTTACTGATCCCTGCAATGCAGGAGACGTGCTGCTGGTCTTGTGGAAGACCATGTTGAACATGCTGTATGTTTGTGGTTCACTTCAGCCAGAAAGCAGGGGGAAGAAGCGAAGCCCGGAGTATTTATTTATTTACTTATTTAACAAGGAAGGTCAATCACTGGAAAAAGACTGAACTTTAATGAGGTCTTTTCACACCGGACAAAGGTCAGCAAATCCTGTCTGCTAAAGCAGTCGGAGAGCCTATTCTCTTTAAAACATAGAGATCAAGGGTGTGACCCTCACTGGAGTCTTGTTCTTGCCGAAAAGTCTGATGTGTAATTAGTTTACACTTTGTCGCTTACATTCCCCTTTCACAGAAAGGCAGCTCATCTTGGTCTCAATGGAATTGCTGCAGAGACCTGAGAGAAGAAATTGACCCTGTGTCTAACTGAAACATCACAAAAAGTATGTCTGTTACAGAAGTGAGTGGGTGAGGGGTTCTGTGGCCTGCCTGAGAAAATCACAATGGTTCTTTCTGGCCTTAACGTCTGTGGGTAACAATGAAGTCTACAGCATCCAGTACATATGTATACTTTGGACATCAACAAACAAACTGGTCATCAAGCTATGGAAGGGTTGCAGCATGTCTGAACATTTCAAATGCATTTTTCACTCCATTCATGTGCTTAATAAAACAGTTTTTCAAAATTTTGGCTGACTGCATTTATTTTAAAAAGCCTGGCTTTTCAAGGAAAAAAAATGTTCTGTTTGAAGAGTTTTTTACCAGCTCTATTTCCTTTGGCTATGAGATTTGATAACAGCTTTCATCATGTATGTAGTCGAGTTACTTTGTGAGCCTTCTCTCATTGATGTATGTACCTGGCATACAATCCCTGCAGGAAGCATCCATCCAGCTGCAGGCTCCTTAAGCCAAAGAACCTGGAGCAACGCAAATGTTAACTAAGTATCCATTTTTTCTGTCAATATCTCAGGGTCTGGTCCAGGTTCCATTGAAATTAAAGGGAGTTTTGCCATTAACTTTGCTGGAAGGAGGCTTAGTTCCTTGGGACATATTCCTTCACCTGTATCCTGCCCCAGCACAATTACTGAATTCTTGTACACACTGTTAGATAACTCTCAGGGCATAAGCAAATTTTCCCTATCCTGGTGATCATGTGGTTTGAGTTGATTGTTAATCTTTTATTGAGGCTAGATTGCTGATTTATAGTTCAACTCCCTCCCCCACCCCCCAACTGCACCTGGAGAACCATTGGACTGCTTTTCTTGTGGTCTCTTTTCACCTGTCTGGTTTACATGTACCTACAGGCATTAAACCTCCCATTAGCCTAATTCTCAGGACCACTGGAACACAAGACTTCCCATTGTGTCCAAGGGTAGTCCCAGAGAAATCCCAACTCTACTTCAGCCATCTTATGGACATTTGGGAATAGTAACCACCAGATCAATACAGTAGTTAAAAATATTTATTTCTAAAGATATTTACCTTGACAGGCACAAAGCATTTCCCGATTTCACATAGAAATACATAAAACATGCATAGACCAATATGGCCCATTCCAATATATATTCAACATGGTAAATATAAATGAACAATTTGTAAAAACATAAATATTTTTTTAAAAAATAAGCACATCATAAAATTCCATCAGACCTCAGTCAACAAATTCAACAATGTGAGTACATTTACTGCTATAAACAGTCACCTAGTATTAGCCTTTTCGTTTCGTTTTAAACAACCCTCTGTCTCCATACATTTATTTCAGACAAGATGCTGAAGTCCTAGATCTAGCAACATTTTCTGTTACACAACATGATGGGTGGATTTTGGCAAACTGCAACACAGTACAACCCCTATTGTGTTAAACAAGGTCATATCCCCTGTTTATTATTTATGTTGAAATCTCTTTTCATTATCCAAAAACCTTGGTTAACCAAACAAACACAACTCCTGCCCTACCATTCAGATAACAGGATGTACTAGTAAACTAGACTGTTGACAAAGGCAAAGGGTTGATAAGTAAAGGCAATAACGTGGTGTAAAAATATTTTGGCAGGAGTGCAACATACAGTATGTGAGGTAGACTTGTATCTATGCAATGAGTACTGATTAAAGTAGCACAGTGTCTTTCACTTTCTGTTTTTATTAATAAGTAAAAAAAGTTTCTCCTTTTAAATCTTGATTTCTCTTCTTTTTATGAGTTTCTGTATCACTATCCCTTGCAAATTCTTTCAGCGCTAGTCTTTTTGTTCTCCCTGAAATCTGCCAAACTGATCAACACCAGTCCATTTTACACCTTCTTTCTGAGAGAAACATCCAAATGTTCCCTTTCTTCTTCTGACAGAAGGCTATCAATGAATGTTGGTTAATGCAACACATCCAACTGGATTCCAGAAGGATGACTTGCTAGGTTTTTATTGCTTTTACATTGTCCAAATATAAAGCTTTCCATAGGCGAAGAGGAGAGGCTTAATATTTAGCACAACATGCTTTTGCCATGTGGAACACAAAAGTCAAAATAAACTTTGGCAATGATTTATCAGTCACTGGTGAAGGAGCAGGATTGAGGTTGGTGTTCTTTCCACTAAGAAGTTATTTTCAGACTTTCCCAGATGCTTTGTCTTTTATGTGTTCTGTTGTGCTTCAGCCTCTTCACTTCATGGGGTGCAGCCTTTAACTTTGCAATATTGAAGGAAGCTTTGATACTGTTTCCGATGGCCTCAAGTCTGTAAAAACAAGAAAAAAACAAAGGCTATTATAAAAATTATAAATCTTGTATGAATAAAATAGCATGCCTATGTGTATACAATCAACATTTTGATTAAATAAATCTAAATCTTGACTTATGGTGTCAGATCCCCATGTGGGATAAATTGCAACAGATCCATGGTAATGATACTGATTTAAACCAGCTGAAGCTCTAGGCTAATAGAAACTTTGGCAAGTCTGGAAACCCTAACCCCCAGAAATTGTGTGTCCAAATTAAAGGATATTCTGTTGTTGGCTACTTTTTACTATTATTGGGGTTTTTACATAAAATGTACTCGGTTTTAGTGAATTCACATAAAGTGTAAAATTTTCACAAGCACCTAAATTACTTGGGCCCACTGCTTCCTTACTTCTATGTCTTTGATGATTTGGTCCTCATTTTCAAAAGTAACTTACTTATTTAGGAGCTTAAACCTAATTCAAAACCAAAAGAACTTCTACTCCTGCATACAACACTTTTGAAAATGGGACTTTGGCACTTTAATTTTTTTTTACTCATAGCCAGATTTTGTTAACAGAGAAATGGCATAAATCATAAATTGCTTCAAGAATGGCAAGCTGCAAATTGCTTCCCAGGAGATACTACTGCAAAGTTATTCTTTGGAAAAAAAAAAAAAAGAGCTCACTGCTATATGACTTCATCACATTGCAACACTAATTCGAGCCGGATTAGTGCATTGTCATATTGCCAGCTAATGCCACTCAACATATTACATGAGGCACTCCAAATGCCCTCTCAACATTAATTTGATATAGCCTCACAACACTCCCAGGAGATATGTAAAAGGGGATAGAATTGACTTATGAGTAAAGTGAGTGGCTGGTGGGCATATTGAGCCTGACGATGCAATTTTACATACATAGGCTGTGTCTAGACTGCATCCCTTTTCCGTAAAAGGGATGCAAATTAGACACATCGCAATTGCAAATGAAGCGGGGATTTAAAATAAGGAATAAGGGATCTTTTGGAAAAGGCTTTACTTTCTGAAAGATCCCCATCTAGACTGGCGCTTTTTTCCAGCAAAGCTCCGAGCCGGAAAAAAGCGGCAGCCATGTTTATGCAAAAGAAGTGGGTTAAATCCCCGCTTCATTTGCAATTGCGATGTGTCTAATTTGCATCCCTTTTACGGAAAAGGGATACAGTCTAGACACAGCCTAAGGGTATGTCTAGACTGCGTTGCTATTTTGGGATACTGGAAGTATCCCAAAATATCAACACCATATCTTTAAAAACGCCCGCTATTTCCCGAAATAGTGGGCGCGCTATTCTGGCATCCCTATAACCCTCGCTCCATGAAGGTTACAGGATTTGTCAGAATAGTGCCTTATTTTGAAATTTGGCACTGTGTAGACAGTGCCAAATTTCAAAATAAGCTCTTTCGACTTAGACTCGGAATAAGATACGCAATTTGGTCCTACTCTCAAATCCCATTGAAGTAAGTGGCAAAGTGGGGAGTAGAACCCAGAAATCCTAATTTTGAAGGTCTGATTTTTCCTAGCCTTACCTCTTTGTGTTATAATTTACAATGGTAGCAGTTTGTACTCACTTTGAGTAGCTATATTTGACACCACAAAAAGCAAGGCTGTGGAGAATCAGACCCACAATGTACTATACAGCCAGCAATGCCTCACTGAATAGATGCCATTTTTAACTTAGATGCCTGAATAACTTACAGTTCAATAAATGTGGCATATGCATTAAAAAATAACAACTCTGAATGAATTTCATCTTCTCATTTTACAAGGCTAATACAGACACATTAATTTCAAGCAGTTCTGATCATGCACGAGCACACTAAAAAGCTATGTGTCAAGATTACTTTTCTCCTGCCCTGTTTCAGACTGATGTTCTAGAACCTACAGCACATCCAAGAAGCAACCAGCTCAATTCATTTAATTGCGTAAGAGAAGGATTTCTAGGATCACCAACAGCCAAAATAAATCTGCAATGTTTTAGGGTGCCATTCTGCTCACATCTGAAGTCAGAGGCTAAACTCACACTCATGCAGCAGGGAGTAGGATCGGGTCCCGTTTGTACTTTACTGAAACTTCATATCTCAACCTATTCAGGAGCAGACATGGTAGCTCACCTTCTCATTTTCCTGCTGTTAAGTCGTTGCCTGTGCACACACTTCAGTCCAAATCTTGTGCAACCATCACCTTTGTTAAAATGATCCCAACTCTTCTCCAATGTGGATTGAGCCCTGTTTATAACAAAGAAAACAATATTGCTATTAAAAAGCAAGGTTACAATCTACCTGGTGACACTTTCACATGAGACACTTTTTTAAGCTATGAAATGTAACAGAGGCTTCTGAGACAGATTCAGGTATCCTTAATGATGCTGGGTGAATCATCAGGCAAATAGTGCCCCTGATTTCCCTGGGACTATTATCCTAAGTAAATGCCACCATCAGCAGACATACCACAATCTGGCTCTTTACAGTGAGTACAGTTCAAAACAAATAAATAATAATAATAATCATAATAAAAATAAATAAAAAACCCACCAGAGTTTTTCTCCTGTCTGGCAGAAGTTCAGACATTTCTTGTCTTTTTGGTTGGCACATTGGCATCTCTTGCTAGATTCTAGTTGCTTCCTGGGGGCTGTATCTTCCACTGACCGCCTTGGTCGAGAAGGACCACCAAGCCCATATGGTACAATTCGCCTATGATCAGAAAATCAAGATATTAATTCAATTCATTGCCTTAGAACTGAGGGGTGTGTCATTTTATCAATGGGACTGTTTTGTGAGCAAAGTTAGCAAGATCAGGAAGCCTCTTTTGGTTGTCACTTTGGGATTTTCAGAGACATTTGCTCTGCCCCACTGTGATTATGGTGGCTGCTTCAGTGACTAATGCCTTTTCAAATCATTAACTAAGAAACATGAATCAAGATGCATTAGAATGCAACAGAACCTCCTCTGTCTGGGCTTTGTAAACACAGAAAAAATCAATTAAAAAAAAAGATAGATCCTCAGCTGGTGTAAATCAGCAGAGCTCCACTGAAGCTAGTATCCACTGCACCAGTGGAGGACCTGTTTCATCCTTAATGGGGAAAGTGTAAAAATGTAATTAATGTATTCTGTAATCATTTGCAGTGGGCCTCTCAGCCATTCTTAAGAACTAAGGAAGCTTCGCCAAATATTTTTATACTGATTCAGGTCAAGATTTTGCTCCGAAGAGACTCCCAAAGAAAATTACTACTGCAAGCAAATAAGGGTGGCAGAAACAAGCCATCAGCATTTCACCCTTCTATGCTTCTAGGGGAAAGTATTTTGTAGCATCAACCATTCAATCCCTGATATAAAATATTTGGAAGGTTAGAACTGTTGTAGGCCTAATGTTAAAGGTGATTTACTTGATGTGTGTGGCCAAATCCTACTTGCTTTCTTCCTGGGAGGGGGTCTCTCCTAAGTCAATGGAAAAACTGGTATGAGGAAATGGGTAGGTGGTGGCAGCTCTTATATTACCGCGGAAAAATCTGTGTCCCATCCTCAACCACTCATTCCTCTTCAGCTATCTTCAAAATATTCCGACTGAGTAGTGCATGTCCTTCTTAACCCTATTTTTCAACCCAAGAGAAACGCCTGCTAACAACGCCCAGGGTTCATTGCAAGCTTCCCCATGAGTTGTGTACTGAGGAGCAATCTAATGGCATGAACTTTTCACATGCCGCCGCTGAGCCCAGGAGCTCTCGCTGCTCGTGAGGGTGCAGGAGCTCAGCTGCACGGAGAAGGATACATTTGCTGGTGTCCCGGGGAGCCATTGTCAGCGGTGCCCCTCCCAAGCCCCCCTAAAAGGGCGCCACAGCAACCGACTTCCAACAATGGCCCCGCCGCCCGGGTGAACGGGAGGTTAGAGCCTTGCAGGGCCCCCACTTACTCCGGGGTGTTGATCCAGATGATGTCCAGGTGGCAGAAGTAGACACACTCCTTGTCCATGAGGGTGGAGCAAGAGCAGCGCTTGGACCTGCGCAGCGGCCAGGGGGCGCTAGAAGGACGAGCCTCGGCGACAGCAGCGCTCAGCTCAGCGCCTAAAGGGCCGGGGAGAGAGAGGGAGCGAAGAGGTTAGCAGGCGAGCGAGCGGCCCCGGGGGAGCCGAGGCAGGCGCGCACGCTGAGGGAAAGGCGGGGGTAGCAAGGGAGATGGATCGGGCCCAGTGCCCTGACCCAGCTCACGTCAGGATGTGCTCATCCCCCGCCGCTGGCCACAGCTTTGGCCCCCGTTGTTTAACAAAGAGGAGCAGCCCGGGCGCATGGCTCAGCTGCAACTTGTGTCTCACTGGGGGAATTGCAACTCCCCCTTGCCTAAGTCAGGGTGTGCACACGGGGCGCCCTCTGCCTTAGTGGTTTACTAGAAGGGCTCAAAGGCTGGTGCATTAGATCCCTCCGCTCCCCTGGGGTAGGGAGGCAGGGATGTTCCGGGAGGGGGGCAGTTTTCCTCCGTCCTTCCTTTCAGCGCTTCTTTGGGGAGCCCTGCCTGAGCCTCCCAGACCTCAGCTCGTCTCCCTAGCCCTTCCATGCCCCCTCGCCCCACGACCCCTTGTGGCGCCCGTCCCCACCAAGGGGGTGGCTGCGGTTGTAACTCTGCATCGAAGCTCACAGGTTTCCCCCCTGTCTCGGAGAGGGGGAGCCCAGCTCCGAGGAAGGCGCGTTTAGTGCGGACGAGAACGGATGGGAGGGAGAGAGAGAGAGAGAGTGTGTGTGTGTGTGTGTGTGTGTGTGTGTAAAAGCCTCCCCTCGCGTTCCATTCATTCCAGGCAGCGGCGCGCAGTGACTCACGGCGATGTCACAGCTGGGTGTTTATTCTCAGCCGCGTGGGCTGGGACTGCTGCTCTGCCCGGGCTGCTTAAATCATCTCAGGTGAACACAAACGCGAGTGATGGGGGAGAGGGGGGAATCCCTTTCAGAGGTTGGCTGAAAACAAGCCCCAACAGCCCATGGCTGCAAAGGCCCGCGCTCCAGTCCGGATTCAGCCCTGGGGACGTTTGATCACCGGAGGCTGGTCCAGAACTGCCTATTCCTTTATTCTCCTGAGATCCCACCCAGAGGCGCGGGAGCCGTTTGTCTAGTGGGGTGCGGAGAAGCCCAGAGCTCTGCTGGAAGCCCTGTCCATAGAAATCACTTCAAGCCAGGGGTGCTGCTGTCAGCATCTCTGGTCCCCCGACCCCTGGAGTTCAGTAGAGCCGCGTTCCTGGGTAGCTCGCTGCAGGGCGCCCTCGCCCCCTAGCTCACACCTACCTGTTTCCTGGGCTCCCGGGCACAGCACGAGCAGCAGGGAGACAACCATCCGCGCCAGCCGCTCGCTCCTCTGCAGCCCCAAAGAAAGCCCCGAGCGCCGCTCCGTGCCGCGGCTAGTTGGCGCGAAGTGGCCTGAGGGAGGGAAAGCTGCTCCCGGGGGCCAAGCCGAGCTGCCAACCCAGTGACAATCCCCAAAGCAGCGGTGGAGAGCCGGGAAGCTCCTTCTCCAGCGCAGCTGCCTGAGCGCTTCTGGCTTGGACAGCTCTCGCCAGCTCCCTTTTATAGCGCACCCCCATAGAGCGGGTAAACAGCTCCGGCTTTATTTTATCCGGAGACAATGTTGTTGTGCTATTAGTCACCCAGCGGCAACGTGCGGGCCGAGATAAGGCCGGGCTGGAAAGGAAACCGCTGCAAACTTCAGAAGCAGACGCCGTCTGACAGGCCAGGGGCCGGGCTACTCACTGGCAGGGTGGGCGGTGGGGAGTGGAGAGAGAGAGGAAAACAAATAGCCCGGGCAGACATACGAGAAAGAAACCTGAAGGCGAAGGGCGTCGACGGCCTAGAGCCAGCAGGGGGAGCCCCTACGCTGGGCACCTCACACCTGGCCTGCCCCTGCTGCCGCCTGGTCCCCCGTCTCCTCTCCACGGGAGCCCCGTAGAAATCAGAAGGGGGTTGATTCAAAAGAAAAGCTGGGTGCGGAGGAAAGGGGGAGGATGCGGATCAAGCATCTGGACAAATTAAAAACTCCCTAAACTTCAGCACCTTAAAGCCCTCGTGGTCCAACAGCATCAATCTTTACTCGGCTAGCAGGTGAAGGCGGCACAGCCAGTAGCCTCCCCAGGAATTAGGGGGGTGTTCGAATTTACAAGGGGGGGGGGTGTCAGGGCCGATGCGGGGTGAAACCGTGAGGGTGAAGGTGGGCTGTATGGCACCATAGTTCACAAAACTGGGAGGGTGTTGGGGAAATTCAGGGGGGTATACACCGCCATGTGGAGGGTGGAGGGAAGTCCCTGGGCACAGCTCTGCCTGAAAGACGGTGGCTGGACTTGGCTCCTTTTCAGTGCTTTGGAGTCTGGCTGTTTCTGGGGGGAAAGAAGGCCAAACAGAGTCTAGTTTTAGATGGGGAAAGGTTGACCTGCTGCTCCAACACCCCAGCTCCCTGCATAGGGCAAGGTTTCCAAATTCATACTGGTACCACTGGGGGTAAGCAGGAGAAATTATGCCATGGTGGAGGTTTTGGGTTATTTTATTTATTGCATTTTTATTTAGGCTACTTAGAGGAAGCTATAACGTTATCTGGAATTTGCAATATAAAGTTAAGTAGGTAATAAGCTGTAGCAATGAGAACTAACTGTTTAATCTGAATCAGAATTTAAGGTTGTGGGGGAGGAGGGAGAGGTTAGTTGTATACCTAATATACTATTTGTATATGGTATATGTTGTATATTTATATACGTTGTCTGTATATAATAGTGAAATATGGCCACAAGGGCAATGGCAGATAGCATTCAGAAGAACACAAAGTATTAACGATGAGATGGGTAGAAATATGCGGACAACTGGTATATCTGGAAGGGGGCTTTTCAATAAGAAATATTTGGGAACCTATGGCTATAGATCACACACAGTCTTTCTGAAATGTTGACATATATAGAGGGGGCATTGGGAAGTACAAGAAGTTGCCAATCTCACTGAAGAGTCAGAGTAGGCTACAGCCCTCTGAGTTGAAACAAAAGTTAGTCTCCTTTTATTTTTTTTATCCATTAAACCACAGGTGTAATAAACAGTATTAAATGGAGGCCATCTGAATGTAGCTACGCTACATGAGCAAAATGTGCCTCTGATCAAATGTGCAGTGATAATACTGAAAAAGTGTGTTAATGTTACCTAGCAAATAGTTATTTTGTTATCTGTTATATTTTCTTGTACTTCCCTATACTTACGAAAATTTTGTCAGATATGGCAAATACGAAAGATTTGCTAAGTGCAAATCTTATTTAGATCATCTCTGGTGAATGACAAGTTTTTAAGTGCCATCATAGTACATTCATTATTTTTTTCTGTATCGGAATTATCATGCTATATTTGAGGGCAGTGATTACAGGAATATTAATTGAGTTGTATTGGTGCACAAAAACTGATATTGCTACTGAATAATAATCTACCAGCAGTCATAAGTTTTAAATATTGGGTGCTTTACCCCAGCACAGATCCATAAAGTTGCAGTTTTCAAAGTAACTCTAGGTTGTTTGCCCAATACACTACTGGTTGTGTAAGACGTATTAGTAGCACCATAAAACAATACAGTTTATTTTCATTGTTATACAAAAGTTGGGTAAGGAGGGAACTGTGTTTAGAAAATGGAAAATGCTGACAGAAGTGACTGTGTAGGGTGTAACATGTCTCTCAATTTCAATCAGATTTGTGTGTGTGTAACACTGAAAAATGTTATAATTTTGCCAGATCTGTCACTTAAAAATTGTATTTCATGCCAGCATTTTTAATAAGAGTTTTTTCCAAAACTGCCATTTCCAAGAAGTGCATCTATCAATTCAAGATATTTTCTTCTTCTCTGTCAAAATGCCTTGCTAGAATGTATTGAGTTAGTTGGTGGAAATGACATGTAGACTCGTAAACATGTGTTCCCTGGAGTAGCAAAGCAAAACATCATGGTGTAAGGGTCTATTAAAATGCCATTTAATTTTTCAAAAACAGAAACATCTTCAGTGATTTATGGGAGGTTTTTAAGTATGAGCATTGACCAAGATTCGTCTATTCTGGTTCAGTAACCTGTGACAACTTTATTTCCTCCTGATCCTTGAACTAATTGGGAATAAGCTGGTGCTGGCATCAGTCTGTCCTGAGGCTGCTAGAATTTATGTCAAGCTATGCCTAGTCCCAAAGGAAAATTTCAGCAGCCAGGCATTATAAGGGCAGACAAGATTCTTTCTTCTGGGCCATGCCTTGTAAATCGAGAAGTGTTTGGCACTTTTATGCCCTTTCAGGATTCTGCTTGGAAGTGAAATTTCATACAGAATTAGAGCCACTGAATTTTCAGCTGCTTTGCACTCTGAAGTGGCATAAACCAGCCAGTGCTGGGGCGAGGATTTGACCCACTTTTTTTTTTCAATTTGGAAATGCAAGGTCAAGATATAGCTTCCTTCATATTCAATAAATCACTCTACTTCTTTGGCAAAAAGATGGGTCTTGCAGTGTGTTAACATGTTGGGGATATTTTGAAACTATGTAGAGAGCTGAGGGTCTCTTCTGGAGAACAACCATCCAACAGAGCTTCTTCTTTGCATTGAAGGAACTCCAACTTCAGCATCTCCGCTGACCATAGCTGTGGCAATATAGCATGGGGAGCAAAATCAACTAGACAAACAGGCTCTGGCTCTAGTATTCCAGCAGGACATTTTGTACTGTCAGAAAAGGAAAACGCTGGCTTATCACAGAGACAATAAAAGGAGATTGCAAAATAGGGCCTTTGTGTCTAGAGAGTAAAACTTGTTTTCTGTGGACTTGAAACACATTATTTAGCAAAATGAAAGTTACACAATCCTTCCCTCCTTCAAAATCAGGGTGTCTCTCTCACCTCTGGACTTTGCAGTCATTCTTGCACTTAGCCCCAGTCACAACACCACAGTTAAGGTTCAAATTTAGGCATCTCATGAGTCATCATCTCATCTGATGCCCACACAGTTTGCTTTCTATTTAGCCCCATGCACTTGGTTTGCTTACACCTGTACCACTGGCCTGCTCTGCATTCTCATTGGCCAGCTGAAAGATGAATCCATTGTCAACCAAGATTCCCCTTTTTGCCTCATCTCCAATTAAAGAGCTTCCAGGAAGGATATAGAAATCTATCTCTGCCTATAGTTTGGAGTCCATAAGATGTTTGGGGGGTATAGACAATGATTAGCTGATATTTCCAATTCAACACATCACCAATAATAAAATGGTTTATCTAAAGTGTCCAATCAACAATTTCTTACTACCCTCCCAAAACAACAAACAAAAATCAAACCCATCTCCTCACTTTCCTATTCCATATATGCCATGAAGGAATCTACGTGCCATATTTTTATTCCCCCTGATATGGGATAAACATCTTTAGCAACAGAATATAGACAGGGAATGATTACCCTGTAAACATCTCTTCCCATATAAAATGCCACCGAAAGGCAGGCATAAAGATGTGATTCAACTCATGATAGAGAGCCAACAAAAAGGCCCATGCTCTAAGCCCTCGTTTGAGCATTTAAGAGGTTATGAGGTGAACTTCACTGTTTATAGCGAGGAATGAGGAGAAGAGATGGGGGGACACACTGACCCATTATCAGGAAGCATTAGCCAATGGCATTGTCATTGAGTCTTGACATTCAATACAGTCAGCCAGGACACAGTGGTCTAATTTGATGCCACAAAGAACTTAATGGGAAAGTATAGATAGGTGCTGGGACTCTATTTTAAAATACTGGCTAGAGTGGATGTGTATCACTGGATGGAATCAAAACAGTCTCACTAACGGTTTCTCTCATGCTCTAAATGAATTTATCTAATAGCTCCTGTAGTAGATGGAGGTGCTTTTAGAACAGAAAAATTATTTACTTCCCTGTTGTCACTGGAAAGTTCAAAGTAGTTATTGTATGCAGCATGATGGAACCGCCAATTTCTAGAGGACACCAATGTATCACAGTACCAGTATGGATTTATTTTCTGTTTAGAAATAAGTAGTCTTGTGGCACTTTAGAAACACACACACACACACACACACACACACACACACACACACCCCCCCCATGAGAGCTCAGTGATTATCTTGGTTGCATAGTGTTGTCATACCATGGTGAGATTGGTGTAGGGACCTTAGATAGGGACCTAAAGGTTAGGGTAGTAGCTCTGGTATATGGGTTTTTTTTCTTTTAAATAAGTGGAATTTGGCCATTATATTTTGGACCATAATTGTTTGGGAATCTTCCTAGAGATGGATGGTTATTGTGATAAACATAATACTAATAATTTAAATTATTTTCAAGTTTGCTA